TAAGGATTGTATTTTGAGTTTACAAAAATAATCTTGTACAGGAGTATCTGTCACAACCTATGCCAGTAAAAATAAATTACAGTTGTCCCATTATCAATAGGGAATTATTTTAATCAGTTACAGAAAACTATACCTTTGCTAAAAATCAGGATGTAGATTTGTCGTCATGGAAGTTTGTCCATAATATGTGAACAGAAAGAAAAAAATATGTATATATGTCTTTTAATTTCATGGCTGCAATCACCATCTGCAGTGATTTTGGAGACTAAAAAAAATAAAGTCGGCCACTGTTTCCCGTCTATCTGTCATGAAGTGATGGGACCGGATGCCATGATCTTAGTTTTCTGAATGTTGAGTGTTAACCCAACTTTTTCACTCTCCTCTTTCACTTTTGTCAAGAGGCCCTTTAGTTCTTCTTCACTTTCTGCCATAAGGGTGGTGTCATCTGCATATCTGAGGTTATTGATATTTCTCCCAGCAGTCTTAATTCCAGCTTGTGCTTCCTCAAGCCCAGTGTTTCTCATGATATACTCTGCATATAAGTTAAGTAAGCAGGGTGATAATATATAGCCTTGACTTACTCCTTTTCCTATTTGGAACCAGTCTGTTGTTCCATGTCCAGTTCTAACTGTTGCTTCCTGACCTGCATACAGGTTTCTCAAGAGTCAGCTCAGGTGGTCTGGTATTCCCATCTCTTGAAGAATCAAGTATACAACAAAATACTTAATGTTATTTTCTTCTGATATATGATATTAATAGATTAGAGAAATTTTTATCATTCTATATTATTTGTTTATTTTTAATTGTGAAATATATAGAACATAAAATGTACAGTCTTATCCATTTTTAAGTGTTCAGTTAGGTAGTGTTATGTACCTTCGCATTGTTGTCCAACCAAATACAGAAGTCTCTTCATCTTACCAAACTGGAACTGCACCCATCAGACAGCAGCTACTTAGTCTTCCTTCCAGGCCCTGCAGCCACCATTGCACGTGGACACTTGAGTTGCTTCTTCCTTTTGGCTGTTGTGGGTAGTGCTGCTACAAACTTGGGTATACAAATAATTACTTTGAGACCTGGATTTTGGTTCTTTTAGGTGTATACCTAGAAATGCAATTGCTGAATCATGTGGTTAATCACTTTTTTAAGGAACCACTGGACTGTTTTCCATAGTGACCGCACACTTGTACATCCCACCAGCAATGCAGCAGGGTTTCAGTTTCCCTGCAGCCTCCCCAGCATTGTTTTCTGGTTTTTGTTGATAATAGCGACATTAATATGTTTGAGATCATTCCTATCATTTATTTTTAATAAGTGTTGCTATTTTCATACTGAGTGAACAATGACGGTATTACCACTTTATAAAAATAGGATGAATTGGCTTTATTTTTTTATTTTTAATATTGTTTCTGTAACAGCAAGTACTGCCTTTATTTGAGATGCAGTAGTAAATTGTCGGGATATTAGGGTTGATTGCTAGAATAAGTTAGAAGCTTGATGCTAAAGGGTGTTTTGAGGTTTTAGTAAAGTACTTTGAATATCATAGTAAATATCTTAATTGCTCTTGAGCGCTCAAAGTTGGAAACCCAGGACTTACCAGTCTTAGTAAATGTTAACTACTAATTTTTGATGGAATATTCATGCTTAACCTTTATTGACTAATAGAACTTATGTTTACCAATTTCTTTTCAAAGAAAAACCTGATTTGAGGTGTGCTGCTGCTGCTGCTAAGTTGCTTCATTATAGTTTACCATAAAATTAATCTGCTTTAGTGTGCAATTCAATAATTTTCAGTAAATGTACTCAGTTATGCATCTATCACCATAATCTAGTTTTGTGTCTGTTCAGTTGCTAAGTTGTGTCCAACTCTTTGTGACCCTGTAGATTGTAGCATGTCAGGTTTCCCTGTCTTTCACTGCCTCCTAGAGTTTGCACACAGAGAAAGCAATAGCAATCCACTCCAGTACTCTTGCCTGGAGAATCCCATGGATGGAGGAGCCTGGTGGGCTGCAGTCCATGGGGTCGCTAAGAGTTGGAGACGACTGAGCATCTTCACTTTCACTTTTCACTGTTATGCATTGGAGAAGGCAGTGGCAACCCACTCCGGTGTTCTTGCCTGGAGAATCCCAGGGACGGGGGAGCCTGGTGGGCTGCCGTCTAGGGGGTCGCACAGAGTCAGACACGGCTGAAGTGACTTAGCAGCAGCAGCAGCAGCAGCAGCAGAGTTTGCACAAACTCATGTCCATTGAGTCCTTGATGCTCTCTAACCATCCTATCCTCTGCCGCTCCCTTTGCCTTCAGTCTTTCCCAGCATCAGGGTCTTTCCCAATGAGTCAGCTCTTCACATCAGGTGGCCAAAGTATTGGAGCTTCAGCTTCAGCATCAGTCATTTTAGCAACTTTTGAGGGTTGATTTCCTTTAGGATTGACTGGTTTGATCTCCTTGAGGTCCAAGGGACTCTCAAGAGTGTTCCCCAGCACCGCAATTAAAAAGCATTAAATTTTTGGTGGTCAGCCTTCTTTATGGTCCAACTCTCCCATCCGTAAATGACTACTGGAAAAGCCATAGCTTTGACTGTACAGACCTTTGTCAGCAAAGTGATGGTTCTGTTTTTTAATGCACTGTTCAGGTTCGTCATAGCTTTTCTTTCAAAGAGTAAGCGTCTTTTAATTTCATGGCTTCAGTCAACATCCACAGTGATTTTGGAGCCTAAGAAATTAAAATCTGCCACTGTTTCCACGTTTTCCCCATCTATTTGCCATAAAGTGATGGGACCAGATGCCACGATCATAGTTTTTTGAATGCAGAATTTTAAACCAGCTTTTTCACTCTCTTCTTCTAACTTTATCAAGAGGCTGTTTAGTTCCTTTTTGCTTTTTGCCATTAGAATGGTATCATCTGCATATCTGAGGTTGTTGATATTTCTCCTGGCAGTCTTAACTCGAGCTTGTGATTTATCCAACCCAGCATTTTGCATGGTATACTCTGTATATAAATTAAATAATCAGGGTGACAGTATACGGCCTTGACTTTCTCTTTTCCCAATTTTTAACCAGTCTGTTGTTCCTTGTCTGGTTCTAACTGTTGCTTCTTAACCAGCGTACAGGTTTCTCAGGAGGCAGGGAAAATGGTCTGGGATTCCCATCTCTTGAAGAATTTTTCATAGTTTGTTGTGATCCACACAGTCGAAGGCATTTGAGTAGTCAATGAAGCAGAAGTAGATGTTTTGTTCCAATTGTCTTGCTTTATCAATGAGCCAATGGTTGTTGGCAGTTTGTTCTCTGGTTCCTCTGCCTTTTCTAAATCCAGCTTGAACATCTGGAAGTTCTTGGTTCACATACTGTTGAAGCCTAGCTTGGAGAATTTTGAGCATTACTTTGCTAGTGTGTGAGATGAGTGCAATTGTGAGGTAGTTTAAACATTCTCTGGCATTGTCTTTCTTTGGGGTTGGAATGAAAACTGACCTTTTCCAGTCCTGTGGCCACTGCGGAGTTTTCCAAGTTTGCTCTTGTGGTTATTCAGATCATTAAGACCTTCTTTGTATAGTTCTTCTCTGTGTATTTGCCACCTCTTAATCTCGTCTGCTTTTTTTAAGTCCTTACTGTTTCTGTCCTTTATCATGTCCATCCTTGCATGAAATGTTCACTTGATATCTCCAGTTTTCTTGAAGAGGTTTCTACTCTTTCCCATTCTGTTGTTTTCCTCTACTTCTTGGCATTGTTCATTGAAGAAGGACTTCTTATCTTTCCTTTCTATTCTCTGGAACTCTTCATTCAGTTGGGTATATCTTTCTCTTTCTCCCTTGCCTTTCACTTCTTTTCTCAGGTATTTGTAAAGCCTCCTCAGACAACCCCTTTGCCTTCTTGCATTTCTTTCTCTTTGGGATGATTTTGGTCACTGCTTCCTCCCTTTACAATACTATGAACCTCCGTCCATAGTTCTTCAGACGCTCTGTCTACCAGATCTAATCCCTTGAATCTATTCATTTCCTCCACTGTCTATAATCATAAGGGATTTGATTTAGGTCATACCTGAATGACCTAGTGGTTTTCCCTGATTTCTTCTGTTTAAGCCTGCATTTGCAATAAGGAGCTCACGTTCTGAGCCACAGTCAGCACCAGGTCTTGTTTTAATAATCTAGTTTGAAATATTTCTGTTGCCCCAGTAAGATCCCTTGTGACCAAGACCTTTATTGACTCTATAGAATTTGTGGCAAAAGATTTTTTGTAACAGGGCTGTATATATTGCTTCTCTTAAATGAATACAAATATCTTTTATCATATCCTCCTATACCAAATATATGCAAGTACTCAAGTAGTGTATATTTTATTTAGGGGACTGTATCATAATACTCATGAAGTGTGTTTGAATGTGCATAACTTTTAGCAAGGAAAAATGTTACATCAGAGAATAAATTCTTTCATGTTTATTTTAGAGAGTCCCAATTAAACATTTTTCCATGTGACTTGATTTTTTGATCTTTTACTGCTGGTTTATTTTTAGCACATCATAGTAGCAAAGGTTGACAAGCCCTTTCAATTATTTGCTGCATATAAACATCAAAACCTCCCAAGTCAGGTCATGGTTTTAGTAATTAAAATGAAAAAGAACTAAATAGATAGAACAATTTCTCATTCATAAAGTAAATACAGTTGTAGGCAAAATTGGTAAATGTTTTGTAACTCACCAGAGGGCACTCTTTTCTCGTTTATTACCTTTCACTCTGATCTTTAGACACAGGTTATACTTTGAAACATTTCAGTCTTTTTCTGGGGTCTAGGGTTGGATTAATTGGAGACTAATGATTGTTTTCTCTTGCAACTTTTAGTGAGTATTTTTGTGACCTGCTTTATAAATGTCATTAAAAATGGTTCTACAAATAAGCCATAGTCTTAAATGCTTTAGGCAGTAGTGTATCTGGCATAAAATCTCTCTTCAGTTTAGTCTCTTTTTTTGCCTAGCAGCTCTATAATGTCACTTGTTTCTTTGTTTATGTTAAGGTTTCAGATCGAGTGGAGCGGCGGCTTCAGGAAATAGAGAAAGAGATGCGAACAGAAAGAGAGCTGGTGGAAAGACGGCAGGATCAACTGGGACTTATTTCTCAGCAGCTCCAGGAGGTTCGTGAAAAGTGGCTTTTCGCAATGTAAATCCTGGGGTTAGGTGGTTGTTTAGCTGAAATGGTTTTAGTTCCTGGGTGTTGCATGTGACAGTTCAGCCCATGTGAGCAGTGCAGCACATTGCTGACAGTGCATTGTATGTAGATGGCCCTTCTTGGTTCAAAGCCAGAGCCTACTCTTTACTGGATGTGTGACCGTGGGCAAGTTCCTTAACTTCTCTAGGCTCATTTCCTTTGCCGTTGTTGTTCAGTTGCTCTTGTTCTACTGTTCAGTGTCCGGCTCTTTGTGACCCCCTGGACTGCAGCATGCCAGGACTCCCTGTCCATCACCAGCTGTGGGAGCTTGCTCAAACTCATGCCCTTCGAGTCAGTGATGCCATCCAACCACGTCATCCTCTGTTGTTCCCTTCTCCTCCTGCCTCAATCTTTCCCAGCAACAGGGTCTTTTCTAATGAGTCAAGTCTTCACATCATTTCCTCTGTAGAAAATAGAAATAATCATAGCATTTACTTAATCACATTGGTGCAGGAGTAAATAAGTTGATGTGGATAAAACAGTTAACCTAGTGTCTTAACTTGTGCTCAGTACATGTGAAACTGAAGGTATAATTATTCAGATTAATTTTCTTTGGTGTGAACTAGACCAGGGATCAGCACACTGGCCGATGGACTGGATCTGGCCCACTGCCGATTTTTGTAAATAAAATTTTATTGAAACATAGCCACTCCCATTCATTTTCAGTACTTTTGTGACACAACAGTAGAGTTGAGATGTTGTGAAAAAGACTGTATGGCTCACAAAACTTAAAATGAATATTGACTGACTGGCTCTTTATAGAAGTTTGCAGTTCCCTGGACTAGACTATCGTCAAATTCAAACTGTTACCCTTTAGGTAACATTTTTTTTTTTTAATGATTTTATGTATTTATGGCTGTGCTGGCCCTTCATTTCTGCACGTGGGCTTTCTCTAGGTGCGGCGAGCGGGGGCGACTCTTGGTTGCAGTGCGCAGGCTTCTCCTTGAGGTGGCTTCTCTTGCTGGGGAGCACAGGCTCGGGGTGCACGGGCCCCACAGTTGCAGTTCTTGGGCTCTGGAGCACCGGCTCACTAGCTGTGGTGCATGGGCTTAGTTGCTCCATGGCACGTGGGATCTTCCCGACCCAGGGGTCTCCTGTTCTGGCTGGTCGATTCTTTACCACTGAGCCACCAGGGAAGCCCAAGGTAATATTTTTGTTTTGAAATTGCAGACTTATGAGGAAGTTGAGTAAGTAGAACAAAGGAATAATGGCTATCCTTTACCTTGATTCCCCTAATAGTCATATTTGCCAGACTTTCTTTATTATTTTATATATGTATATCCATGTGTATGTATATTTAAAAGTTTTTATTGAGGCTAGTTGCTGACATAATGTAGATGCTTTTAAATCTAAATAATAGGGTGTGTACATTCTCTTCTGTTATCACAGAAGATTAACATTGGATCAATACTATGAACCTATAGGTTTTATTAAAATTTTGCGACTTAAAGTCCTTTTCTGGTCCAGGGTACAATACAGGATTACATAAAGCATTTGACCATCATGTCTCTTTAGTTTCCTTTAATCTGGAATAGTTTTTCAGTCTTTTTTTTTTTTTTCTAGTCAGTTAGTTTGTAGAATGTCTTTTGTTTTAGGTTTGTTGATTTTTTTTTTCCTCATCACTAGATTCAGGTCTTAGACTTCTGTCAGGACACCCAGAGAATTGTTGTTTTGTTTCTCCTAGATTATCAGATCAGGAGGCATGTAATGTTGATTTGTTCCATCACTGATGAAAACTAAACATTGATTAAGGTGTTGCTTGCCAGGTTTCTCTACTGTAAAGTTACTATATTATGCTTTTTAATTATTTGTGTAATGGGGAAGCTCTTTGAAACTTGAAAATAGCCTATATTTCATCATATTTTCACCTGCAAATTTTAGCATCTATTGGTTCTTTCATGAAACAGTTACTGCTGTAAGTGATACTAAACAGTGATTTAAAAAATATTCTGTCATATCTCTTAATCAGTTGGAATCCTACTGTCAGAAGTGCTTTGTTGTTTTCTCCACTCATTCAATCATTCGTTAACATTAGTGTAGATTTATGAATTATCATTTTATCATCTTGTTTATGTTTTATAATTGTCATTATAGGAAACTTATGAGATTACCTTTAAATGTTTCTAAGGTATATAAAGCATAAAAAAATTAGAAACAAGGAAACCAAAAGACTTAAAAACAAAAGGAATGCTTTATTTTTTTCTTTTACAAAATGTTTTTCTTTAAAAGTGATGTTCTTTAGATGTACTTGTGTGTTCTTAAAGATCATTAACCCTTTTAGATTGACAGATTAAATTTTTTAAGTTTTAGGAAATGTGCCCATTGAAAATTAGCAATGAAAATTGCAAACCTGAAATTATAATGTAAGCTGATAGAAAAATCTGCCTTTGTTTTCTAAAATTCCATTTTTCCTCCATTTCACAAAAGGACACATACCCTTGTTAGTTGGTAATTACTTTGAAGAGGATACTTTGTTGAATAATTAGATACAGATGTGGGTAGACTTTTTTTTTAAAAAAAAAAACCTTGATTTTTATACGTTTGTTCTCAAAGCAAATTGCATCTGGTGAGCGTAAGAACAGCACTGAAGAGACAATTGTTCTTTTTTGTGAGAGAAGATTAGAGAAATTTTCCATGCTTATTTTCTACTCTCTTTACAGAATGCAGAAAATTACAAAGAAAGAGGGAGAGAAAGATTGCTTCCCACCCCTATTCTTGAGAAACCAGAGCCTGAGTATTTGCATTGTAATTGTCATTTTGACTAAAAGCTTGAACAGTCCTTTGGAATTCCATCTCTGACAGTACAATAGAGGATCACTATTGATAAGAAATGTTTAATTTCATACTTTGTCACTTTAATATATGTGGTAACCTATGTGCTTTTAATAGGTGATTTTGGATTAAACAGTGCAGTGGAAACTGGAAAGGATTAATTTAGCCTGATGCGTTTTCCTACTCCCAAGTTAAGTGGCTTAGAGTGTTCTGGAAAGATCGTGTTTAAGGAGAGAAAACACTTTGCTTTCTATTTGGTGTTAATACTTATGGCTATACCTGTACTGTATGGCAGTAATAATTTATGAATTTTGTTTGTGGCTGTGGTGAAAATTGAATCTCTAGGTGGGTAAGTATGCCTGGACTTTCAGCCACTATATTCTTCTGCCTTCCTAAAATGTGTGATTCAATGTTAGTTCAAATTATGACAGTCAAAAGTTGTGAAGAGATTGGGAGGCATCATTAAAAATTCCAGAATGTCAGAGATTTCTGGGTATTAATATAATGTGTTATAGGGAGGCAATCTGGTTTTGGCTAAAACCTGCTTCGTTTTAGTGATCTAATGAAGTTCTTAGGTCCTCAGAGCTTTATCTGTTCCCATCTAATGAAAATCACAGAATTAGTCATTGGAAACTGATAGAGGGAAAGCCACTGTCCTTTTCTTATTTAGAGTTTTTAAAAATTGTTTACTGTTCTGTTCTTTTTTCCCATTCCTCCTGGTCTAAGCAATAGGGATACGCTCACACTCTGGAATTCACTTCCTTTGGTGAGGCTTAGCTGCTCATGTGCTACTGCGCGTGAACGTCAGATTTTCTTAGCTTGACAAGGACCTTCCGTGGCCTTCGTACCTCACGTGCCACATTTCAGACAACACTGTTCTCGTAGCTCAGTCGCTGTCTCTCTAGAGAGGTGAATGTTTCATTAGTTGTGCAATAATTTTATTTTCATATTGCTTTAAAAATATTTATATATTTTAAATTAAAGTATAGTTTATTTACACTGCTTTGTTAGTTTCTGGTGTATAGCAAAGTGAATGTTATATATATATATATAGATTTTTTTTCAGATTCTTTTTAAGATATTGAAAATAGTTCCCTGTGCTGTACAGTAGGACCTTATTGTTCATCCTTTTGTTTATAGTAGTATGCATCCGTCCATCCCAAACTCCTAATTTATGCCTCCCCACCACCTTTTCCCTTTGGTAACCATGTTTCTGAGTCTGTTTCTGTTTTATAAGTAAGTTCATTTGTAATTGTTTTTTTAGATTCCACATGTAAGTGATATCATATGATATTTGTCTTTGACTTGCTTCTCCAGTTCCGTCCATGTTGCTGTAAATGGCATTACTTTGTTCTTTTTAATGGTTGAGTAATATTCCATTGTGTATATATGTACCACATCTTCTTTATCCATTTCTTTATTGATGGGCATCTAGGTTGCTTCCATGTGTTGGCTGCTATAAATAGTGCTACTGTAAACATTGAGGTGCATGTATCTTTTCAAGTTAAAAGGTTTTTTTTTCCAGATATATGCCCAAGAGTGGCATTGACAGAGCGTATGGTAACTCTACTTCTGGTTTTTTAAGGAACCTCCATACTATTCTCCATGGTGGCTTTATATTCCGGTTAACAGTGTGGAAGGGTTCCCTTTTTTCCATACTCTCTCCAGCCTTTATTATTCTTAGACTTTCTGATGATGGTCATTCTGACAGGTAAGAAGTGATACCTCGTTGATTTGCATTTCTCTAATAAGTAGTCATGTTGATCATCATTTCATGTGTCTGTAGTCATCTGCATGTCTTCTTTGGAGAAATGTCTATTTAGATCTTCTGCCCATTTTTTGATAAGTTTTTTTTTTTAAGCAGTGTGAGCAGTTTGTATATTTTGGAAATTGAACCCTTGTTGGTTGCATCATTTGCAAATATTTTCTCACATTCCATAGGTTGTCTTTTCATTTAATTTATGTTTTTTTTTTTGTTGTGCAAAAGATTTTAAGTTTAATTAGCTCTCATTTGTTCTTTTTTGTTTTTATTTCCATTACTATAGGAGTCAGATCCAAAAAGATATTGCTGCTTTTTTGTGTCAAAGAGTGTACCGCCTGTGCTTCCTCCTAGGAGTTTTAAAGTATCCGTTCCTAGGTTTAGATCTTTAATCC